CTTAGTCTATTCTCAGCTGAAAGATGCTGTTGGCTGCTCCACGCAGTCTGCCCGGTCACTTTGCCATTCAACGAGTTCACTGAACGCCAACAGTCGTCCTTCCATGTCAATGTTTGTGTGTAAGTGGCGTTGGTCAGCAGTAGGTCACGGATTTACTCAGCCGCTTGTCGTGTTCAGAGTAGCACGCGCGCTACATTTTTCCTTTTACAAACCACATCGCACCGCGTGCCGCCTTCGCTCAGCTTGCAAGATAACGCAAGCGCTTCATCACGCAGCGCACAGTGCGTTGCATACGCATTTGTCACGCTTCTCCACTTAGGGCAGGCTAGCAGACTGCAGGCGCTTATCTGTCGCAACGTTATCAGCAACGCGCTCGGCTGACTTGATTCGCTCGATTGGATTGGTTTAATTGGCGCGTCCACTTGTCGGAGCGATTACTTGCGCGCATATATAGTTATGTGTATGCTACGCTGTGCGTCAACTGGCCGCTGAAGGCGTGCGGTTTTGCGTCATTTGTGCGCGGATTTTTTCCATTCAAATTACTTTTGCTCTTCATCTCTGGTCTCAGCGTTATCGGAGTAGCTAGCTGGCAAGATCAATTTGCTGCAGCGCTGAGTTGAATGGAACGTTGAAGTGCAAGTATGCTTAAGTTCGCATGTAAATTTGTGTGCGAGTCTTTACTGTGCGCGCCTGAAGCTGTGCTTTTGGCCTTATCAGCAGTTTCATTGGCGCACGTAGCTGCCAACTTTTTGTACAATTTTTCGTTTAAATTGATATGCGTTTTTAATTAATAAATTCAGTTGATTATTTTATTCAAAATGGCTAAAAAAAAAAAAGCAAGCGAAACACACTAAGTTAAAATTAGATTTACTTTAATTGTAATCACTGCGAATTAATATAAACTGCACTTTCACTCGAAGCGCTGATAAGTGGCGCAATGATTTATGATGATTCGGGTGTAAAAGAAATATTAATTTATTGTAGTTTTAGGGAGTGAAACTTGCTTAACAGAACTTTCAATAAAATAATAATGATAAAATTTAGTTTAATCTTCATTGAGTAAAGAATATTTAAGAAAATGTTGAACAATTATGAGTGTAAAGCTTAAGTTCTTAAAAGTTAGTTGGCAGTTAAACAACAGATTATCCAAACCTCTAAACTTATTTCGAGGTGGTCGCGATGGTTTAAAAAGTGGTAAATATTACTATAGTGGAGTAAAAACATTTGCAAATTTGTGATAAAAGAATATAGGCAATGTCGAATGGAAGAAGGCTAAGCTCGAGCGTAGTAAAACACTTTTATTTTTAACACATTATTATACATAATGCGCGTGTATGTATACTCGTCAGTTAGAATAAAAATATAAAAAATATTGACCATTATATTTAAGAAGGAATCGCTGGAGAGCCTACGAACTATATATATATGATAAATAATCAGTATGATAAGTTGACCCGATCTAGCCATGTTGGTATATCCGTCCATCTGTTTGTATATTAGCGAACTAATGCCTCAGTTTTTGAAATGTCGATCTGAATTATTTTGCTTACGAGAGCTCTAGCTTTTTTTAAATTTAATTTTTGTTTTTTAAGTTTTTGAAGAAAAACTATAAATATTTGTTTAGTTATACGCCCTCGAGCCTGGTAGTCACAACGTCCTCCTTGCTGAAATAAGTAAGAGGAAAACATTTAGTCTGTTTCGGACCAGCAAACAATTTCTGATTCTACATGTTCTGTTGGCCGCCAGCAGCTTATGGCGCCTCGTCTTTAGCCCAGAGATGCCGCTTTTTCTTAGCCACGGCTCTTTGATTAGGACGACATCGGCTCCGACCCTTCGAAGACGATGCAAAAGATTGGCAGATGCCATCTCAGTCGACGATCTGCCGCAATGTTGGCCGCGCCCGACGAGTCCACTTCCATGCGCCTTTGGGCTTCTTTTGATTTCTCTCCTATCGCCCCTGGAGGTTGTGAGACACTCGCTCTGGCATCGGTCGGAAGCATCTTTAGAACCACCCTCTCAAAGCCATAGCGGATTCCACTTTTTGCGTTGATAAGAGAACCGATGGACTCCTAGTTCAGGAGAATCAGTACCTGCCGATATTGTTGATTGCTTCTCTCCAGCCTTATCACTCTCCAGTCGCGAGTTAGGAGAGACGGATTGTAGCAACGCAACATCTCCTTGATCTCTTCAGCGATAGAAGGTTCTGAAGGTAGCCAGACGCTAGCGTGGGGGCAGAAAGCTTATACAGGGAGGCCGACCATTCGTAGGCAAACCTGACTAGCTTGTGAATACCGTAATGCCAACCTACACTCTCACACCTCCCTCTCATGCGACCTCTGTCGCTTAACCGTAGGTTGGAACTCACTTGCAGTGTGTCACCACATATGCAGGTGACGGAATATCTCGACAACCAGCCCAGGTTTCAACTAAATTCAAAAATTTGGTTCAGAAATCAAAGCATTCTTTATCATAAAGAAAGAAAAATATTTTCGATTTTTATTTAAACTAATTTGATATACATACATCTTTCAAGTAAAGGTGTAAAAATTATGAGAAAATTTTATTATCAACGAAATTAAATACTTCAAACAAATGCTCAGCCAGCAAGTGCATTGCGTACTTTTGCGAAATTCCAAAAATCATACGACGTAATTCACGTGCTTGCAAAAAGCTTCGGCGCACACACGCGCACACAGTATACAACACAGAATTCGTTGTGTTCGCATGTGAAGCGCTTCTGTGCTTATTATAAAATAAAAATTCATTATTTATGTAATTATTTCTCTCTTAATTGACAATTCAAATTTTTAATCGGTAATGACAACTAAGCGGTTATCAGTTGGCGGTGCCTCGCACATCTGTGTGCCTCATTCACACTTCGTTTTAATTATAAATTGCCCATAAACACACACAAATGTACTTAAGTATATTTAAGTATGTGTGCGTATGTGTGAACAATTTACTGTTATTGTATTCGCGCAATTAGAGGCTTGACATTTCTTATCAAACAATGCGCTGTGCTCAAAAGTTGAATATTTCCAATTTAATGCTTTGTAGGCTCCGATACAAAGTCAAACATTTTCAAAATAATCAAACTAATTCATGCAGCGTGTATGTCTGTGTCTGTGTGTGATTTCATTAAATACAATGAATCTCGAAATTTAATTTGCGCCTTAACTCATTCATCCATTCATGTGTGATAATACCTATTATACCTATATATATGTATATTCGATATAAATGCTTAGCCATGTGTTTGTGAGTGCGTGCGGGCGAAATGTGTGTTGCTTTGTGTCAATTAATTAAATTTAGCACCGCGTACTAGGTATGCCAACATAGACCAGCGCGCTTTCTCACTTGCAAGTGATCTATTTTTGTTACCTATTCATACTCGTATTTTTCGATTCTACTCGATTTGCTAGTCGTGGGCCTGCCTAGCAGCGGCACTACAACATCTTGCGTGAAATTGCGTCATCCCGATATTTGAAACACGAATCGTTCATTGCCACTCAATTCGGCGTCTTCATTGATTATTTTTTACTTCTGTTCCATTTTTTTTTCTCTTCTGCGCTACCTTACCGTAAATTATTGGCAGCGATCACGTTTGGTATATATGGTGTATCGTGCTACGTGCAAGTAGTGGGCACACATTTGAGGGCTTACACTGAAATCGTGCACCACTTGACAAACTAATACATACCAACAAACATGTGCTCACGTCAAGCGTACGCCTTTAGTGCAGCCCTTGTGAGTCTTATTTCGAGATTACATTGAATTATTTGACATTAATTGTGTCTTTTCATTCAAAAATATAGTATGCACTGAAAAAAATGTTGATTGGTTTTTATTATTTTTAAAACAAAAAAATCTCTAAGTTGTAAAAATAGATTCGGAGAGTCAAAAAGTTAGAGTCGATTTAGCCAAAGCCGTCTGTGTGTCTGTCCGTCCTTATATATACGAACTAGTCGGTCAGTTTTTGAGATATCGATCCGAAATTTAACACCCGCTCTTTTTTCACTAAGAAACTGCTCATTTACCTTCTTCTTGACTCACTAGGTATAAGGATTTGTCCAAAGCAACGGTGTAAACTCCGAAAAAATTATTCAGATCGAATCACAAGTAATCTTTTGTATTTGTGAAGGATAATATGGCTTCGTTTTTTCTAGCTATTTTTTCTCATTAATCACACGATTGACCATTATTCTAAGTAGAACAACATGTGGGTTCTTTAAGTCTGCTGATTTACACCCGATATGGATTACAAATGTTACGAGACTAGATTGGATGGTCTTCCTATCAACAGCAGTATTAATCTCCTCATTTCTTATACTGGAAACACGGGCTGATAATGTACAGATGAAACTATAGATATATCAATATGAGAGGTCGTTGATAGATAATTCTCACTTCACGTCAGGTATCTACTATCTATAGTACTATAGCTTCTTAGATTAAGATTGGTTTTTCGACTGTAACTTTCACAATTCTATTCTAGTAACATTCAAAAAAACGTCTCCATGAACTCAATTAAGATAAATTAAGCCAACTCGTTTCGCATTAAAACTTTTATCTCTCACTTAGAACTCGCACTTGAATGCATTTTAATAGAAAAACAGGTTTAAACTGTTTAACACAAAGCCCAAGCAAAAGAGAATATGTTAATATATGGTATTAAGCCACTCAAACTCCCTTAATCTTTTCATCTACAATAAATGTGTGATTTTTTTTTACCGTGTAAAGAGTGTCTGACTCAACTCACTGCATATGGAAATGAGCATAGATAAGTGCGGCGAAAGGGCAACGCGCGCATAAAATCAACGCAACGGCGTATAAAAATTTGCGCTGATAAGGGGGAAGCGACTGAATTAGCGCAAAAAATGAAATGAAGCGTCGCAATGCGGCATATATTGACTGAGCGTGAATGAATCTTTGTATATATGCCGTACTTCTGTTGGCGGGCGTATGTGTGCGCGCGCTCGCTTTCGATAAGACACTTGATTGGCTAGAAAAGCCGGCAAGCGCTTACTATATACGCGCGCATCTCTTTGTGTGTGTGCGCGCCGACCATTTGTCACACGAAACCGAATATTTGCAATTGAAGACCAAACTAAAACGGCAAAACTCATTCAGTCGCGTTTTAGGAACAAAGCGAGCAACAAGCAAATCAAAAGTGAAACGAATAAGTGTAAATGAAGAAATATTAAACATCAAACTTTAGCAAAGTATTTCGCGAGTTGTAAACGTTAGTAGTAACTAAAAAGGAAAACTTAGTGAACGCGGTAGCTGAGCTAATAAGGGCTAGTGCACACGTTCACCCACAACAGCAAATATAGATACTTAAGCGCCTCGTGCGAACAATAACAAAAATAACAGAATATTGAACACAAAAATTGCAGAGTGGCAGCAGCAGAGGAGACAGCATCAGCGCAATTGCAATGATTGGAAATTATCAGGAAAACTTACTGAAACTACAAAGAATAAAATCGAAGGCAGCAACGTACAGTTTGGGCTGAAACACTGCCAAGTTGAGAACATTCAAAGCGTTTTCACATTTACGTGGAACGCGAAGGGTAAAAAGCCTAGTGGAAGTGAAAAGGCTACGGAAGCAATTTTCAGAGCAATCGGGCGCTTAGCAACAAACCGTTTCCTACAGCAGAGCGATCACATTACTTGAATAGCAAAGCAAAGAACGCAAATAGAATACTACGAAGTAGACAGAGAACACTCACACAGCAAAACCGCTAAGCAACATGCAAATAGCACAAAAGCGCTGCCACTGGTCAGCAACATTGAAAATGCCACAACAACGGCAAATAAGCTGGGCACTTCAGCAGCTGATAAGCGTTACATGTCACGTGCTAACGCTCAGCTTGCTGACGCCAATGGCCCGTGGCGCAGCGCCGCGCCCGCTCTACACAGACAACAGTCAACCGATGGCTAATGAGAAACACCCACTTTGGGTGCACGTGAATAAAACGTGTCTGGCGAGCACTTGCAATAACACGCTCACCGAGCAGCACCTCGAACAGTTGGAGCGTAACATCGATTGGACGGTGAGTGCGTGTGATGACTTTCACACGCACGCTTGTGGCAAGTGGATGCCGCCAAGTGGACAACAGAGCACCGCAAGCATGATGCAGGTGGCGGAAGAATCGTTGACAGCGCGTTACGTGGAACTATTTGAGCGCTCTCTGAATGATAGGCATGCGCAGAGGCGCGGTGCAGCGGCAGTGACGGCGGCGATTACGAGAGCGGCACAACGACAGCAAGTGCGGCGTGCGCGTAGACATGGAACACGCGCTGCCACGAAGCATGAAGGCGCGACAGGAAGTGGCAGTGAAAAGCAGCTGGAAACAGCTTTAAATGTAGAAGTGCCCATAGAGACGTATGACATGACAACGGAAGCTGAAGATTATGATCTAGTGCTTTCAAAGTTGTTACGATACTATCGCGTCTGTAAGCAAGCAGAGCGGCTAACTATACGCGGCTACTATGATGAAATACGCGCAGAAGGTCTTCTGCGGCCGCAAAAACGTCACTGGCAGGAAATGCTGGCAAACTTTGCGCGCTATGGTTACGGCGAACAATTCGTATTCTTTCGGGTGCGTCAACAGAATGCCTCACAACATGATATTACTGTGCTGCCGCATGACACACATAAGCGGCTTAATTTAACAACGGAAATATACGAAGTGCTGCGTGCACATACACAGAAGAGTCGCGCCGAGTTGGTAACGGAATTTCGCGCACTGGAAACACATGTCGAGGATGTGGTGAACAACATGTGCGCGGAGGATGGCGTGGAGCATAACAACACTGTGAGTAGCACAACTGCAAGGGTCGAACAACATGCGATTAACGACCAGCCTGCGATACCCATCAGCGCTGAGGAGGATTGCGATCTTACGGAAACACTAACATTTGCTGAGCTGACGCAGCGCTGCGGAGATGTTGATTGGCAGCGCTTCATAGCCGCACCGCTTGGTCGGCATATGCACGCGGCTGATCCTATACGTATCGATTCAGTCGCAACAGTTTGCAAGCTGGCGCGTTATCACAATCAACCACAACATGCCCATATTAATTTTCTCTACACGCTTGCACGTTTCCTCCGCTATTTGGAGCAGCAGCAATACAACCCATTACGTTTAGGTAGCAGCGGCGCTACCTGTATACGTCACATGCGTAAAACGTTGCCTGTTGCTATGACCTATGTCTACGACCGCGCCTTTTATGCGCCCGTGCGCGCTGATAGCGATCGCGTCATTCTCTCGATATTCGCACAACTCAAAGCGGAATTCGCGCGTACCATAACTCTCAACCGCATGCAGTTCGATGCCGATATAGTGGAATATTTGCAGCAGAAGCTCTTAACGCTACGCATAAATCTAGGTAACTTGCCGCCCGCGGTTAACTCCTCATTCTATGTGGACCTCATGTGGAAACTGAACGTTAGCAACAATAACTTCTATCGAAATCACATGCACGCTTTGGCTCATACCTACGGTCACCTGCGTCGTTTGGCTTCCAGCGCTTCGAAAAAGCATAGCCGCAGTGCTTGGTACACCTTCAATTACCACGAGCCCACCTTCCCTGACAATTTGGATGCGACGCCCTACTATTTCTGTCTAAGTAATATGATAATCGTGCCATACGCTTACCTCCAAACGCCCTTCTACGATCACCAGTTCTGGTCCATACTACTATATGGTGATCTCGCCAACACCTTAGGTCATGAGCTCATCCACAGCTTTGATAGCTCATTCCTCGAGTATGACCACGTGGGCAACATGAACGAACTCATGATGCAGCGTATCTCAGCGAATTCGAACTTCGCGCACAACACTCAGTGTCTGAGTCAAGGCACCAAATTCCTAGCCGAGCGTATTGCAGATGTGAGCGGCACGCGGTTAGCGCTCAATGCCTTCTTGCGTGATCCACAATTCGTGAAAACAAATGGTCGCTTATTTTTCCTGCAGTTCGCGCAATTCTTCTGCAGCAACGCCGATGAGGCGACCCATCAGCTGCAGGATCGCTGGCACGACACGGACGCATTGCGCTTGAACTACACACTATCGCAGATGCCTGAATTCATGGAGGCCTTCAGTTGTCCGGCTCAAAGTCGCATGAACGCGATGCACCGCTGTGGCCTGTGGTAGTTAGGTAGGCTCAAGTGCGGGTAGGGTTTGGGATCACTATACAAATATAATCTGAGCGGAAAAATTAGTATTAGTACATAGAGTTTATAAGTGAGTTAGAATAAGCAAATCTGTTAGCGCTAAGGTACTTAAATGATTTTACGCTGTAACTAGTTCATAGTATTTTTTGTATCTATTACCTTTAAAAATATTATAATAATTATAATTTGTTTAAATATATATTTTTTGTAAGACTTAAAATATAAATAACTTATTAAGATAAATCGACCCAAAATTTTGGACTTTTTAAAAAATCAAACAAAAAAAAATGTTGTTAATTAGGACGAATTATTATCCTATTGAAATTAAAGACTCTTCGGTATCAGTGTTTTATATAATCCCGAAAATTCTCAGGAACCCTAATATTTCTCTTCAATTTGATGACTAGTCAAGAAAAATTTCGGGATCCCGATATATTTTCTATGAAATCTCAAATTAAGTTGACTAATAAATAATTCAAAAACAATGGGAAGTAAATAAAAACAAAATAATCAATAGCTCCGAAAAGTGTCGGGATCCCGAAATTCTTCTTTTGTAACTTCGGGACAACTTTATTTATACACAGTGGGAAAAGAGGCAAAAAGCAGTATTATTAATGCCGTGAAATTTCGGGATTCTTTTATATTTTGTGTGAAATTTCGGGACTAGTTGCATAATGCAAGGCGAAAAGGATTAGAAATACATTTATATAGGGCAGGTAGAAATTCCAATCTTGTCAATTTTATATTAATTTTGCAATCTAAAATTTCGGATTTTTTTTTATCAGTCTTTAGACCTAAATGCATTGCCTGGTTAGCTTTAAATTAAAAAAGTGTACTTTTCATCTAATTGAAATTTATAATTAATATTTGTTTCAATAATTAATGTGGGAGTACATTTATATATATTACATAAAATATACATATGTACGTACATGTACATATGTGTACATAGGCATTCAAATCGCTCATAGACCACAAATGAATTTCAAAGTATTTCAATCACAAAAAGGATGTTTTTGGTTTTGCTTTTTATGGGTAACAAATATTTTAATTACTTTAAACAAATAAATATATACATATAGGTTATACGAGTATATGGCATACATGCATATATATATATATTATAATTATAATTATGTATATGCTTATAGAGTCAATTAATTGATCAGACACAATTATTTTTGTAATAGTAATTGCTTTGATATTTTGAGTGAATGAATTAAAATTATATAATTTCAAATTATTGTGTAGAAATAATATTTTAATTTCATTTATAACGTTTTTATACATTTTTGTTTAACAGCAATACTTTGCATATGATAGTCAATTAAAGTTGCACCAAATAAGTTGCCAGCCGTTTATTATTTAATGCAATTATTATTTGCTATTAATTATATTACAAATTGCTTTTTCGCAAAGCAAAAAGCAAAACACAAAAATATATTACAAATTAAATGATTTTTTAATACGCAACAAAAGAGCTTTCAAAGTAGTGCCAAAAATAATTCGTTTAACTTCAGCGATATTTCATTTCATCACATCTGTTTTAGTAATTGCGAGTATTTATTGTCAATTATAAATAAGGCTTTAATTATGCAACTAATCATGCATTATGTACATATAAGATTTTCCTTTCACACATTTTCCATACAAATTTACAGACATCATAACTTATTTATCCGCATTTGCCACAAAATCCTGTTTGGGCTGCCGAAAATATACGAAATTATCGAATTTCCAATAATATTGTTTATACTAAAACGATTGGCCGCTTCGTTCGGCCGTCCCGTTGTTGGCTGGCTGACTGGCTCAAATAGATTACGAAATCAAATATATTGCGGTGATTCCGCTTCACTTTCATTTATTTGGATTCGAAACCATGCATTTTGCTGTATGCCATTTGCAGTGATATTTCAAATGCCATACAGTTCCATATTTTTTTGAAACTATATAAACTTAATTTGCGAATCAAATGAAAATCTAGTTATATTAAATCAAATGAAGAGCAGCAGCATGAACATAACGCTAATATTTATTAGGTAACGCATACGCCATGGCATTTTCACCTGCAATAAAATTGATTTTATTTCCAAACTCAGCCGAGCGTAAAGAGCATTAAAATACGCTTGCATAACTGGACATTGGATCGCTGATTAGTTAAAATGCGCTTTTTATATTTTTGAATGTAGGTCATAACTTGCAATATAACGCAGTCCAAGTTATGAATTGCAATTAAATGTTAAAATATAAGTCACAACTTATTAGTCGTAATTCATAAGTCGTAAATAAAATGTCATAAACAGTAATTGATTAATTTTTAATAGTTAATCATTATTAAACATTTATTATGAATAGTTAATCATAAACATTAGTCATTAATCATTAATCATAAATCACACAATATTCTTAATTAATCGAAAATCATTAAATTATTAATTAATAATTATTATAAATCATAAGTCATTAATCAGTAATCAATAATCATAAATCATAAGTCATTAATCAGTAATTATAAATCACAAATTATTAATAATTAAACGAAAATCATAAATTATTAATTAAAAATCATTAAACAAAAATCATAAGTAATTAACTATTACAAATTACATATTAATCATAAATCGTTTATCGTAAGTTATAAATCGTAAATCATAAAAAGCAAATCAGAAACCTTAAATTATTTATTATTAATCATTAATCACAAGTCATTAATTATTAGTCAATAATCATAGACCATAAATCAAAAAATATTTCCTTTAATCATCAATCACGAATTTTAAATCATAAGTCATAAATCATAAATCATAAATAATAAATCAATAATCAATAATCATGAATCATAAATCATTAATCACAAATCATAAATTATTAATTATAAATCATAAATTATAAATTAAAAATCATAATTCATAAATTATAAATTATAAATCATATATCAATAATCATAAATCATAAGCCATAAATAATAAATCATAATCATATATATATATATACAAAGATTGAAAATAAGAGTAATAATAGTATTATTTTCATATTCTATCTATCTTTTGTTTTTCACAGCCACTCGATCCGCTTAAGCCACCGTAAATCTAAGAATGTCCCTAACCTTCCAAAATTCTAAATCTAAGCAATTCGTTACTAACAAAACTGAATTTTTATACAAATTACCCACACCTTCCCGTTGCATATTGTTTTCGCCTACTTATTTAATTCTCTTTTATGCCACACATTAACCTTTAATGATATAATTGCAAATATCCTGCAATCTGCCACTAGTACCTCCATTTGTGTGTATGTGAGACATGCGACTGCAGCCTTCACCTTGCAAACCGCCTTCCATCCGCCGTAAGCGCTCTACAAAAACCACACAAACTTAATTCGTTCGTTATGCGCGGCCACCAGCATTTGATTGCATGCACAGCTACAGCCACAGTCACAGCCACGCTTGGCAATTACAGCAGCAGCAAGCAGACACATATGTATATGTTGGTATGTGTGTGGGAAACTTCTTCGCTAACAACTGCTCTTGAAAGCCACAATCAGTGTGCTGAAGTTGCACCTTTATTTTCGCCACGCTGCTTTAGTATGTGCTAATAGCTGAGTATTTTATTTGCGACCGCCCATGTGTGTATATGTGCAAGTGTGTGCACGCGTTGTCACCTGACATCTGCACCATGTCAGCGCTATCTTGTAGGCAGCCATGTGTGGCAGAAGTACGTGCAAATTGTCTCGCCTGCCGCTTGAAATTTCTCTTTAACCACCACGTGACTGCATTGCCTTCGCCATGTAGATGTGTATGTGTGTATATCTATTTCTGCTTTCATTGCATGCTTCGTGATTTAAACGCGCGTCTACAGCGCGTTAATGGACTATTAATGCAGATGGCATCTCCACGCTGCGCTCAGCGCACCAACTCGCTACTGCCTTTAAGAGAGTGGAAATGTGGCATGCGATGTTGCTTGGTTTGCGGATTTTAACACCTGCTTCGCTTAACACATTCAATTGCGCACCCACACACACACACACATATATGCAGTGAGTGTATTTGCACGTCTGCTTAGATTTAATGAGGCAAAACTCATTCTGTGGAATGCAAAGAGCATTGAAGGCTTTGATTTGTAGAAGCCCGTGTTGCTCCGCACGGCTTTTGCTTTCATTACAATAATTGCTTTCGAAATTGGTCTTATTAACATTTGCTTTGTAGTTTTATGCTTAACATTGTATTTCTTCGATTATTTTCCTTTTTATTGCATGGCTTTGAATTGGCTTATCAAAACGCTTACCTGCTTTATATTCCATTTAACCTAGTTCACGTTTTTATTATGGTGGTAATTGAAAAATCTACGTGTCAGCACTGTATCATAGGTTTTAAATACAAAGGTTGAATATAATTACTTCCGCTTTTTCATACCAGCAAGGTCGATTGAGTCAGTCAACAATTTTTCTTGAAGCACTATTAATTTCTAAAATTAACTTCAACTGTAGTTTTTTCTCCTTTCCGCATTCTGCCACCGATTCATTGCAGAAGATCCAGTTGGCTATGTCAGAATTGCTTATTGAATTCCATTCAGTTAAAAATGATAGGCGAAATTTGATTTGTAATCGAAAATATGTTCCTTTGTATACATATCTCTGCTCCTGTAGATTGTTTAAGCTTAATTCTTAAGCCGAATGTGATTATTTTAATTTGCTCAGTTACCGAGCAAACGCGTCACAAGGTTTTCTTCCATAATGTCAACTCTTCTTTGAGCAACTAAAATTCACAATATCTTCTTACTTTACTCTCAGTTTATGATGTTTCTCTTTTTTACGTGTTTTCTATGCTGACTACTTTACGGGAAAGAAATTCTTAATGCCTTGGTAATACCAATAGCCCCACACTTATCCATTGGTCCTCATTTTTGAACTGAGAGTATGCTACTATATTGAACAGTTGTTTTACACTATAATTTTCTATTTCAATTTTCACGATAGCTAACTGAGACCGCAAGTGGGCGTACGCTGCGTATGAGTAACATAATTGTTCTACCCTTCAGAAGAGTTTCAAATGATAAACTTAATCTCAACAAATAGTTGGTATTTATATTTTGAAGAAAGCCCTTCCCAGTAAATCCATTCATATAACCATTCTTCATCAGTCTCGCAAGCGAAAGAACGTTGGGAATGGTTGCTCATCGAAATAAACGTACTTAAAATTGAAAATTCATAATTTTTGTATTTGAATTTGTATTGCCAATTATATTATTTTAATTTTTATTACTCTTTTTTAATAATAATCAATA